CACCAAAAAAACAACTGTTGTTACTGTCAAAGCCATTGAGATCTCTCTTGATCCTGATATCCTATCCTATCTCTTGTCCACCTTCCAGCAGCTTCTCCTTAACCCCTTTTCTTGCACCTTCCTCTTAATACCTATTTCCTCCTTTCCTTTCCTTTCTTATAGTCTATGATTCCATTGCTATCCTAACTGCAAATCGCAAATATCATGTTTTACACTCTTATTCTCGACCTAAAACATGGATATATTTGTGTTTTCATTTAAAATGGTAATTTTTTGAATTAAACATCTTTAATTTTTCTCTTGAATTTGTTTACCTGAGATAAATTAAAATTAATCTTTAACTTATTATAAAAACATGCTTTGAAAACTGTACCATGTCACCTAAAAAAATGAGATTGCTGTTGTGGACAGGTCCTTAATTTATTTTCTTCTGTGGGCCAATGGGTATCCAGAAAAAATAAAAACACACACCAACCTTCTCTAAACATCATGCAGTAACAGCCATGCAGTTCAGAAAACCCTGAGCTCCCCTTGGAGTAGCCTGAGCAGTTAATCACTTTAGGTGTAGTTGGTCTTTCAACTGTCACCAGTAATTTTGTTAAGAAGGCCGGTGGAGCCATAGAGTCCTGACATCTATTCAAAATGGTAGACATGTAAGGTTATCCAAAGAACCACTCATTTTCATGCCCATTCATCCATGGCATAGCATTTAGCCCTGAGGTCACCCCCACCACCCTGAAAGTTGTTTTAAGCGATTCAAAGTCACCACAGACACAAAGCAGCAGAAAATAAAACAGCAGGAAAATGCAATGGTGGCCTGGCTAATCATGCATATTTAAATAAGCACCACAGATGTGTACTTCAAAAAAAATTCAACCAGCTCTGGTTTCAAGTAAAACATGCTCCACGAGGCAAACAGGATCATGGAGGGAACTCCTGAGGGTTTTATACACAACCAGTTCCTCAGAGATGATGGGGTGCACGGAAGACAGCAGAAGGAATGTTAACATTCACAAGGAAAACAGAAGAGCATGCAAAAGGAGCAAGGTCCAGTGTACAATTCTGAAGTCCACTTACTGCCTGCTTTTGCTCTTCCTCCTAGAAGTGTTGAAGATGAAAAAAGGTAGAGGAGAAAAGGAGAGAAATTAATGCCCATCACCACAAATATTGGGAAGAAATGATAGAAATGAGGCAAAACAGGCCTGGCTCGTGTGCCCTGAGCTCAAAGACCCTGTCCACCAGATGAGCAAAATGGCAGGCCTCTCCCCATCAGTTAATTCAAGGCACTAACTTCTAGAGTTGAAAGAAAAAACAAAACAAAACAAAACACAACCTTAGAATGCATCTAAGACTTCTTCACTTACAAATGAAAGAGGCCTTGAGAGTCTGGCTTATCTAAGGCCAGTAAATATTTAAGGTAAACTCAAAGAGGAAGTTCAACCATGGCTACTTCATCATTCACAGTATCTCTATGTATCTAGAGACAGGTCCTAGGCCAGTGATCCTCAAGGTGTGGATCACAGATCTGCATCAGCATCACTTGGGAGCTCATCATAGATGCAGATTTTGGGCCCCACCCTAGACCGGCTGACTAGAAGCTTCAGAATTGGGAAAGAGCCATGTGTTCCGACAGCCCTTCAGCCCTAGTTTGAGAACTATTACTCTAAATTCTCAACTAGCAGTTCCACCTGACCACAGGCTCTTTTCTTCTTTCCTAGTCCCCTCTCCCCACTACACATGTTGGAACTGCATCTGCTCCACTTGCTTGCAGGCTGTTTTGCCTTTAGATTTAGGGTGCACATGCATGCCTTCTTCCCCCAGGAAGCTGGAGGCTTCTTCAAGGACTCTGTAAGGGCTTTAAAAAAAAAAAAAAAGAATTCTTGACTTCAGTTTTTCATTAATTTACCACAGGTTTATTTAGTAATTCTTATGCATAACACTCCAACAAAGGTAAGTTCTCTGTCTTTTAGAACTCACAGTGATGGGTACACAGAGCAGGCACTTATTAACTACAGTTGACTGACCAGATAAATGTACCATTAGACATTGTAGAAAGAAAGAAAAAAAAAAAAAGAGGAAATAAATACTTTTGAGTTTCTCGCTTTTTGCTTCTTAGTTAGTCTGTCTTTTAATGAATCTCTTTGGTTCCTCTTTCTGTGCCTCATCATGGGTAACTGGGCATGATGCCTCTTCTCTTTAGTATGTAAGTCATAAAGTGATCCCAGTGGCTCTACCTGAACTACATCCATGGGCACAGGCAGTTTCCACTGACCATGGGTCTACAGAGTCTTAGGAAGAATATGTACTCCTGCTCTGAGTCTGTGGGTCTGGGTGTGAGGGCAGTGTGATTTCAGTAAAGCAAAGGAATTGCAAAAGGGAGAAGGTAAACAAAATTCTAGAGAAAACAATTTTTATTCCTGCAAAGAGAGACATGGACTAGAAATTAAATGAACACAAGATATTCCACAAGGAGACTCTGGTTCTTCTCAGAAAGGTGCTTTTCACAAAGAAAGTCAGCCGCCAGCAGCCTGATCAAACTCAACTCCCAGGATCCCAGGCAGAGGGCCCTAAGCATCAGCTCAGCCTGAGGAGAGGCTTTCTGCCTTTGCACTTGGCAAGCATGGCTGGGTTCTGGTCAGGAGGAGATAGTTTTGCAGTGGGAAAGTGCTCTCCCTTCCCAGCCAGACTTCCCTCTAGGGCAGGACACTGCTTACATTCACTAGGCAAGGCAAACAGCCGCAGGAGATGATTAAACAATTTAAAAATGTATTTTCATTGCTGGCACTAGGTGTTGAAATGGAAATTGAGCTGGGGAAGGGATGGAGCAATTTCACAGGCTGAAATCCTATCTGAGGTCAAAAGACCAGTATATATGTCATTTCTTGGAGCTCTTTTTAAGAGACCTCCCTGTTTTCCCTACCTTTGGTATGAGATAACATTGGTTTACTTTATAGAATAGAGAAATTTGAGAAAGCAATGTTTCTGCTCTCACATTCAGTTACTCTGTTATGTAAGTTTGTCCTATGACATGAAAAATTATAATCCTCAGTACATGTACTTATCAGGTTAGGACAGGATGGTGGACAGGGCAGCGTTCTCAAGACTCAGAGGCTTCCCCTGTCAATGGTGGTGGGAGAAGGAGGACTTTGACAAAGTGTTATCTAGGATGGTGTTGTATAACTTAAACTCACAAAGTTATCCAAATAAGGCCTTTAAAGCTCTGTCAGCACATCAAACAGGTCAGATATAAGGTCTTAAATCTTTTTGTTATCAATTAATCAGCGGGGGTCTATAAACACTGATGACAAGAAGCAGTGCCAACTTGACTTAAAGGAGTCATAATACCTTCACTATAACGTGCAAATCTAGATGTGCTTATGTGACCTGAAAACACAATCTCTTCCAAATGGAGGCAATCTGGCCAGCTAATGGCATAGCTACTAGAGTCATCTATACAAAAATTTACATTTTAACTGTATAAACATTTGCAAATGAAGTTGAAATCCAAAACTGCAGAAATCAGCTGGTAAATATTTCAAAGCAGTATCAGAAATATGAAAAATGAAGTGGAAAAGGTTGGGAGTATGAGTCAAAAACCAAAATATCAACATAACCATTCTATATCAAGTAAATGTGAGGCAGAGGTTATCTTTAAACTCAATAATCAGAGGAAAAATGTACGGAAAAGATATGTACAGATATGGGGATACTAGAGTATCAGTCTACATTGTATCATGAAATGAGAAAAAATAAATGAGAAGGAAGTCCCTGATAGTCCTTGGTTATAGAAAATGAGTTCACCTTCCACTGTTCACCAAATACCTAACATGACACTTAGGAACACAATATATTTTTGTTACATAAACATACAATTAGTTTTTTGACCTTTTTCCAAAAATGGTAGACCTTTGTTGAATGAATTACTACACAATGGTCCCACTTTAATATACTTAAATTATTGGTTTTCAGATACAGAGTGCACAGTATTTTACTGAAGTGGCAGAATGCAAGAACTCCCTGTGAAATGGAAATGTACTGTTGATGTATTTTAATTTATAAGCCTCCCAGACCATGTGGCTTGATTGTCCATTTGACAAATTGCTTACAGCTGTTTTATGAGCAAATTAAATGCTAGCAGACTGAACATGAGTGAAGGAAGGACAATTCTTTGAAATTAAAATTAGGATTTTAAAGGGTACATTCATTATGGACTGAATTTTTTTAATAGTAGGAAAATATCTGAGATTTTAATAGAAGTCACTGATCTTTATGCATGACCTTTTAGGCATGAATGTAATACACAAATTAAGATTGTGCTGTAATTCTTTTAGGAAGCTGGACACCATATACGTCATATTTTCAACTGTGAATTTTCAACTGTAGATAAAAAAGACAACATTTTTAGGTTTGCGTTTGCAGATTCCTCCTGTCAGTCTGGGTGGCCTCAATCTGGATAAATGAAAAGGCATTTAAGAACTTGGCAAGGGTCCTATGAAATGGGTTGGTAGGATCTTGTTTATTTTACTGAAATTATATAGTAAGAGCTAAAAATATAAAGAAAGTTAGGGTTTGGGGTTAGTATTCCAGCTACTAACTCCTGCTTAGCCCTTGAATACAGATGTCAGTGGCCCACCTCAAGTTTACAGTGGTTATGCCTAGGGCTTGGAGGCAGTAGTTCTAAGGAAGACGAAAGACAACTGAACAGAAAGGGAAGTGCACCATGTTAATTAGGTGAAATGCACTCTGACTTTCCTTCAGTTTCAGAAACCTTTCACCTAAAAGGTGAAACAAAAGCACAGTGGGATACCTTCTTATCTATGTGTGGGTTATGTTTGAGAATGTATTTCTGAAAGGGAGAGAGTGAGATATCCCTTATCATCCCCTGTCCCACAGGCGTACCTACTCCACTCAGAGGGCTTCCAGTACCCAACATGGTCTAGGAATTACACAGGTCAGATATGTTAATGTGTACTGTGGCTGTTTTGAGTGGGTGACTGGTCGCTCATCTGTGTATCTGACAACTGCTAGAGGGATACAGACCAGGTATTTTGATAGTTTTCTTTCAACCAGGCTCATTTAGACATAAAATATTTCTGTGGGGAAATCCTGCTAACAGGGTTAGTGTAGAAAAAGTCCATGTAAAACAACTCTTAATGCCCAGGACCAAGCTAAGAAAACAAAAACAAAAACTCAGCTCAAATCTAAAAGAAGTAATTGTCTTGAGGAAGTAAAAATTCAGTTAAAAGCACAACTGCAACATTAGTCCAAGTTGCCAGAACCCACCAGCTTCATTACTAAGGGATTTCTTTAAAATGCAGAGGCTGAAAAGAAGTCTCCAAGATGCTACTTTCTTGGATTCCCACTTCTAGTTGGACCCTTGTCATCCTGAGTCTGGTGACTCCATAGATCTCTTCCTATACTTTAGTGTCTCCCTTTTTAAAATTGTAGCAGGTATCCTCCTAAACTTACTTTTTGTTGCTGTTATTGAGACAGGGTCTCACTATATAGCTCAGGCTGACCTTGAACACATGGTGATCCTCCTGCCTCAGCCTCCTGAGTGCTAAGATTACAGGGGTGCACCATCATGCCCAGCTTCTAAAGTTAAATTTTAACACCTTCAATGACTCCTTTCCATAGCATTCCATTCATTCCCTTTGGCCTGGCTTTGATGTCTTCCACGTGTAATTTTTTTTTTTTGCTCTGACTGCTAAGTCAGTGTCTTGCTACAAAATGTTTACAGCATTGACAGGCAGGTCCTAGGAAACCCGCAGCATGATACCAGGTGTTCTGCACCCTACAACTAGGAAAACATTTCTATTTAATCCTAATAAATTGCCTAGGTGAGGACATTTCAATGCCAACCATACCTTTCCCCACTCTAGGATAGGGGACTGTAATATGCCCTTTGACAAACAGAAAAATCTGAATTATCTTGGATTTACTTGGGTCCAAATATACTTAACCTATAGCTCATAAGCTATTTTATTTCCAGTGAAGTTATTATTTAGAATTGATGCTGGGCATGGTGGTGCATGAGTGAAATCTCAGCACTTGGAAGGCTGAGGCAGGAGGATCACTGCAAGCTCGAGGCCAGCCTGGGCTACAGAGTGAGTTCAAGGCCAGCTTGAACTGCGTAGTAAGACCCTGTCTCAAAAAGACAAAAAAAAAAAAATTAGTTTGTGTGGTGGTTTTCTATGTGTCAACCTGACTGGGCTGAGATACCCAGTAAATGGTACAACACTATCTCTGGATATTGGTGAGGGTGTTTCCTAGCAGAGACTGGGATATTAATCAGTAACCAAGAAAAGAAGATCCATTTTCATTAATGTAGGCAGACACCATACAATCCACTGAGGAAGTGGACAGAACAAAAAGGCACAGGGAAGATAAATGTTCTGTCTTCTGGAACAGGACATTTGCCTCTGTCTGCCTTAGACATTGAAGCTCCAGGTTTCTTCCAGACCTTATTATAGTGACTTCCCTTACCCATCTGGACTGCAGGCTATATCATCAGCTCTCTGGTTTGCAGGTCTTCAGTCTATATTAGATGTTATATGCCAGGCTTTCCTGGGTCTCCAGGTAGCAGGGAGTGCACTATGGGACTTCTCTGCCTCTATAACTGAACGAGCTAACTCAATCATTTCTCTTTTCTACATCTACAAATGTCCTATTGATCCTGTATCTCTGTAAACATTCTAATATAGTTTGCCTCTCTATACCTATTAAAACAGGGCACTTAATGTTTGTGAAGTATTTGGAGGGAATATCTGAAAATTTAAACTTTAAGTAGTTGGGAAATATTTATACACATCACATTTATGCATAGTTAATACCGTATGTATAAGCATCCTTATCTAGAAAAGCAACTACTCAAGACACTGCCCTATTTCCATTTACTAATTTTTCATAATCAGGCTTTATACTAATTTCAATTTTTATACTGATTTTTTATACTTTTATACCTAATTAGGCCACATTTGTGGAAGTTTACCTGCAAATTGGTTCTAGGCCTGACAACCAAGAATTTAGACCCAGGCAATGGTGAAGGCTGTCAGGCAGAGAGGCAGGTGGGAAGAGGAGCCGGAGAGGCCTTGGCTCTTACCTTCAGCAGCTTCATCAGCCCCTCCAGCTGCACCATCAGCTCCCGCCTGCTCTCCTGCAGGGCAGACATCCTTTGCTCCAGCTCATCTTTCCTCTGCCTGTCCAAGAGGAAAGATTCATCAGAAATGAAATTTTGGTGTATTACGCTAGGTGGGAATTGGCAGTTGCTGGATTCATATTAGAGAAATACCTCAGTTCACGTGCACTTCTGTTTGCAAATAATTTGGTTTGCAAACAAAAGTGTTTGGCAAAAAATTTTGCTTCCATTTGCAAACTCTGCACTGGGTGACAAACACAACCATGGCTATCTTCTCCACACAAACACAAATGCAACCAACTTCCCCCAAATCATAAAAGAAGTTCATAAATGTATACACCATCTGCACGATAAAGAAAGTTGTTGAGTACCTACAAATGAATCCTGCCCTTTATGTGTTTTTTGATAAACAGACGTTAATATTTTTAAAAATTTATTTTTATGAGTGTATGTTTGCAGTATGTAACGTTTACATTTTGTGTGTGGAGTTGGTACACGTACATAACCCATCACAATTCCTTTTTTTATCCACTTTTTCCCTGCTCCCTCCCAAAAGCTAATATTAATGTAGAGGAATTTACCAATTGCACAGTCAAAATTCTGAGAAGTTATTTTCTATTCCTGAAGCATAAAGAAATTCTGCATTTTCTTTTAGAAGTTTTAAACTTCTGTCTTCACATTTCAATGGTCTGATGTCAGTTTTTGTGTGAGGTAGAGGACCAGGATATTTGCCTGTATGCACAGACAACTGTTCTGGCACATTTCTTAAATGTCTCATCTTTCCTTGAGATACAAAATCTCCTTTTGAAATTAACTGTTTTCTGACTTCTCAAGCTTTAGATACCCCTTAGGCTCAGATTAAATTTCTATTTTTTGCTTCCTGAACTCAGCCCTGTCCCCATTAAACCTATGAGATTTTTCAGATCCTTCCAGCTTAACTGGTACCTCAGGCAGCCCCAGTTTCAGCAGCAGTTAAGAGTCCTGGATGACAGTTTTTGCTTTTTTAGATATAAAAAGTCATGTGTGCCTGAGCTGAGTTAGGGAAAGAAAACATATATCTTGTGCTGACAGCTCAGTTACCCTCTGCCTGAATTGGCACGTGTTTCTCCACTCTTCTTAGTGTAACACCAAACACACTAACATCCCAAATGTGTGACAGTGAAGCACAGAGCAGCCAAAATTTTAGTTCAACTACATTTAGAAACTAAAATGAATTTTTAGGAGAAGGGGAAGCTCTGTATCTCTAATGATCTTCACCTGCCTAGTTTAAATTCTTTGACTCACTTATTGATGATACAAATCTAAACACTAAGACACCTATAGAAAAAAACAATAACCTCCAATCTCTAGGACAGTGGTGGTAAATCTACGGTATACATGCTGCAGCTGGCTGTTATCATTGAAAGCTCTAAAAGGTTTGCCATCACTGCTTCAGGAAAAGAAATCATGGTTGAGAGGCCAAATGACCTAAGCCAAAGGAAGAGGGAGAGGAAAATAAAAGTACCCAGCTAAGCAGAATTCCAGATGAAAGCTCATTAAAAATCAACTGTGGAATGTCAAATTGTCAAATACTACAACCTAAAGAACCACCATTTGGGAATCCAGAGTTCTGGTTTTTACAGTGTCTTTACTTACAGAAGAGTACATATACAACATTCTAAGGCAGACAGGAAATAAGGTCCTAAAAACAGATCAGGTCATTCATGTCATGCTCTTCTGGGAAGATGTCTCCATTCCCTTTTAAATAGCATCACACTGGGAGGAATGCTGCTCTCTACTCCAACGGTGATCCGGTCCTTAGTTTCTTTTTTGTTTGAGATAGGGTCTCTCTATGTAGTTCAGGCTGGCTTGAACTCACTATGTACCTAGAGTGGTGAACCTTTTTGCCTCAGCCTCCTCAACACTGGGATTATAGATGTGTGCTATCACACCTGGTTGTCCTTAGTTTCTTGATCCCTGAGACATTATATTTGTGGGAAAGTAGCACAGTCATGGTGTGATTCCACCTTGGCTTTGTGTCTCACAGGTGATGCAGAGGAAACACACTTCTTGGCAGAGTCCTGGTCTGACTATGAAGTACCAGGAAAATATAATCATAGGACAGGGAAAGAGTCTCTGGAGTCAGACCTTGTACTTACAATAGAAGAACAGGAACTGCACCAGGAGGTGTTCTTAAACCAATGACAGAAGCAGACACTGGCCCACCTGCCCTGGGATTTGAGGGAGACTTGTATTTACCTAGCTTTGTACAAAGGCTTAAGTTCTCAAAGTGACTAATGATGGAACTCAGCAGTGTGTTCCAATAGGACTGGTTTCAGACAAGCAGATTCTATTTGACTAGTTTGGCTTCCTGAGGTATAAATTCCCACCGTAAATTACAGAGGTGTAGTATTGCTGCTTACCTAAGCAACCGTAGCTCTGCCAGCAACGTGGGGTTCTGCTGGGCCTTCTCAGGAGTGGGTTGCGAGGCCTGCTCGTGCTCCAGGCGGAGGCGCTGGATCTCTTGCAGGATCTCTCTAGTGGGCGATGAAAGTAAGATGGTTACCTACCCTTCCCAACTCCTGCTCTCCTGTCCCTTGCAGTGCCTTCTGTACTAATCTCACTGATTGTTTCCAAAGGATCAAGATGTGGAGTGAATGCTTTCTAAGTAGCCCCTCACCTGACATTTCTTCAATGAAACAATCCTTTCTGGTAGAAAAACTTAAAAACACTCCTTGAGAACTTAAAAAATCTCCAGAAAAGGAAAATGACAACCTGAAGGTTTTATTTACCCTGTTCCTTTCTGGGGAAAAGGAAAAGAGAACTTGTAGTCTCTAATGCAGGTCCAAAACTAACTTTCTGAGGCTTTCCAAGTCCCAGTCAGGCTTTTCTGACCCCTGATAACTGACTGAAGGCCAGGTGCCCACCTCTCCTGCATGTTATACAAGGTTTCCATGCCTTTAAATGTTTTTTTAAGTGCGAGGCCAGTCATATATAGGCTAGTGAGCAAGGGCAAGATGACTACACAGAACACAACACTGTTAGAAGTAGCGGAGAAAGGAATCCTGAGAGGGGACACAGAGTGGGGGCCAGGAAAAAGAATCTACCAAGGGCAGAAGAGTAGCACTCTGGGCAACCAGAATTAGCAGCATGCATATCTGCACCAGTTAGAGTCCAGTGCATTTCTTGGACTTGTGGGATCTTCCAGTCAAAAGCCAGCTAGCTGCAAGGACAGTAAGTACCAGTACTCACGATAATTCTGGACTTGAAAAATGGGCTCAGCTTCTAAATTCTTACCTGTTCTTGTTTTCCAGTTCTGCAATGAGCTGTCTCTGCTGTTTGTTGGCATCAAAATTAAAGCTCACATCAGTAGGAGGACGAGTCTAAAGTGGAGAAAGAGTTGTTTTCCGATTTAAATAAATTCAGAGTCTGAGACTGTTGAGTTTTGAGATGTAATTTACATACTATAAAATCCACTCATTTTAGTGTACAACTCAATGAGTCTTAGTAAATTTAAACAACTTTGTGCAACCGCTCACCACAATCCATTTTTAGAATATTTTCCATCACCATAACATCTCATTTGTTGTTAATCCCTACTCCCCCGCCAGACTCAGCAACCACTGACAAGGTTTCAGTTAGTCTTCTCTAGAAACTTCATAGAAACAGAATCATACAACACGGAGGCTTTTGGCTGCCACTCAGCATGAGGTTTTTGAGGCTCATCCATGAAATCAATAGCTTCTTTTTATTCTTTTTGTTGCTGAGTAGTATTTCACTGTTTCCAGCATTGGGCCATTACAAATGAAGCTGCTATGAACTTTTCATCTCATTTTTGTGTCAATGTTTTCACTTCTCTTGAGTAAATACATTTGCATGGGATTGATAGTTATATGGTAATGCTGAATTTAAAAACATTTGAGGAACTGTCAAACTGTTCCAAAGTCTGTGTACCATCTTACAATGCCACTGATAATGACTGAAAGTTCCAATTCCACACCCTTACCAACATTTGTTACTATAATCTCTGGTTTTTAACCATCCCAGTGGATATGACATTCCTAATGGTGAGTTTTAAAAAACTAGTATTTATATACCATAAAATCGACTCTTTTAAAGTGCAGAGTGTGTGGGCTTTAGTGTAATTATGAGGTTGTAAAATTACCACCAACCCCAAATATTTCCATTATCCCCAAAGGCAACCCCACGTTCATTAGTAGTCATTCTTCCTGTCCCATCCTGATATCCATCATTCTGTCTATGGATTTACCTATTCTGTATATTTCATATAAATGCAATCATACAATATGTGGTCTTTTATGTCTGGCTTCTTTCACTCCACAAAAGGTTTTCAAAGTTCATCCATGCTGTACTATGTATCAGTATTCCATCCCTTTATTGCTGAATAATATTCCATAATACAAATATGCCACATTTTATTTATCTATTCAATAGCTGATGGACATTTGGGGCATTTCCACTTATAGGCTATTTTGGATAATGCTCCTATGAACATTTATTTAGAGATAAGTTTTTTTGTTTGTGTCTTTTGCTATGCATTCCAGACTGGCCTCAAATATGCGGCAATCCTCCTGCCTCAGCATCTGGAGGGCTGGGGTTATAGGCACTATCACACCCAGCTAGACTTATGTTTTTATTTCTCCTGTGTTTATATTTAAGAGTGCAATTGCTGGGTCACATGGTAACTGCTTTTTTGTTTTCTGAGACAGAGTCTTGCTGTATAGTCCTGGCTGCTCCTGAACTCACTATGTAGCCCAGGCTGGCCTCAAACTTGCAGCAATCTCACTGCTTCAGCCTCCCGAGTACTGGGATCACAGTTGTGTGCCACCACGCCTGGCAGAACTCCTAGTGCGATGATGGCGAACCTTCCAGAGTTTCCAATAATAAGAAACACTCAGCTTCAGCATGAGCGTCAAAGGTTTGCCACCACTGTCCTAGTGTGGGTGTTAAGTGGTATCTTATTATGGATTCGTTTTGTATTTCCTTAATATAAATATGCTACTTACTGGCCACTTGTGGATCTTCCTGGAAGCATGTAGCTGTGATCTGCATATCCACTGATATTTCTAACTCTTGTTTAAGAATACTGTAGCTGTGTAATGGGGCAACTTAGTGCAATCCTGTCTCAAAATATCATAAAAGATCTGGGGATATAGCTTAGTGTGAAGGGCTTGGGTTCAGTCTCCCTCCCACTAAGGGGAAAAAAGAGGGAGAAAATATGATAGCCAATTGACACAAAATGAGGAAAGGGATGACAATGTGGTTTCCCTTTTATTAAGCAAACAGAACAGAAACATCTATGAGGCTCTGTGATGACTGCTTCACTCTGCACACTCTTGGTTCTGCCTGAAACATAACCTATGTGAAACAGAAACCTTGTTTTCTGTCTAGAGCCTGAAGAGTCAGTAACTCTTTTCACATGGTGTTTTCTAAACCAACAGGGGTAAAACAGCATAGCAAGGTTTGGTGGGCAGATTTTTACCCGATTACCAAATATTTTTCTTTTTTCAAAGAAAAAACTAGCGGATTTTCTTCCTCTAAAGAAGCATGGACAAGAAGCCAGGTAAGTAAATTTCCTGTATCGTATTCACAGTCTTACAAGAGCCTGAGATAAGCCTCAGAAAAATGGCTTGTTTGAGACTGAATCTGGCTATGAATAATAATAGGTTTGTAATTCCTCAAAACTGGAGTAAAAAGTCTATCTAATTGAGTGGGAGCATGGAGAACTGTGGAAGAGAAATGAGCTCTGGAAGGAATTTATTTCACATGACACACAAAAAGCTCTAGTATTTCACTGGAAATGTCTAAGGAATCTTTCCAGTTTTGAGTGTTTCACTGCTAAGTTGAACCATCTTCCATAGCAGAGGTTAGTGCAGAAATCAAGAGTCATTGTAAATAGGGACTCCTAAGGAGGCATGATTCTTTGGCTTCTAGAAGCACTGTTACTCAAATCCAAAGAAGCAGGCAGGGGTAAAGAGCTGGACAGACTAACAAGAAGAACTCCCTCACTTGGGTGCCTAATAAAGCTGTATTTCATTCAAACAAATTTAAAATACCAGGTTACCATGATATGTCTCTAAATGCTCCATGTATTAAAATTTAATCCCCACTGCGAAGTATTAAAGCGGGTGGAAACTATGGTCTAGAGGTGTGACCGTGAGGGATGATTAATATTAGCTAGTGGTCATGAGGGTTAGGCCTAGTTACTTTATTCTAGGGAGGAGACCACATGCGGTCCCTGGCTCTTGCTGTGTGATGCCTGCATTGCCTCAGGATGTTCTCAGCAAGATGTAGCCCTTTGACTTTGGACCTTCAGAACTGTAAGTCAAAATAAATCTTTTCAAGTTAGCCTGCCTTAGGTATGTCATTATAGTAATGAAAAATGGACTAATACAAAAAACAGAGAAACTTATGATTTTATTTACCACCACCACCTTAAACACCATGGGCTCCTTTAAAAAAAATACAAAAACTCAAGGCCTTTCTTCCTAAAATGCCAGGACACTAAAGGGAGTAACACAGAAATGGAATTGAACGTTTTGTTTTGTTTTTTTTTTTTTTGGTACTGGGAATCAAACTCAGGACCTTGTGCTTGCCAGGCAGGCGCTTGTGCTGCTAAGCCATATCCCCAGCCCACAGATACTGTACTTTGGCCTGAAGTGTTCAAAGATGATTTCTTTAAAAAATTTAATAGTTTGTTATCCTAGTTACTTTTCTCACTGCTGAAACAAAATACCTGACACCCAAAGTTTAAGGAGAAAAGGTTTATTTCAGCTCACAGTTTGTAGGGGTTTCAGTCCATAGCCAGCTGACTCTAAGACAGGGTGGCATAGCACAGGAGAAATACTGTCGTCTACAGAAGCAGGCAGGCGAGAGCACATTCACCTTTTTCTGTCCATTATTTTATACGCAAGCTACCCATCTTAGGATGGGTGAAGCACTCATACTCTTAATCCTAGCCAGAATTATGCCAAACCAATCAGTGGGCTGATCCCAGCACCACATACTCTAGATCCTACCACCTCTGAAAAGTATCCCCACTGTGACTGCAAGAAGCTTTTGGGGAAACATTTAGACATAAGCCATAATATTTGTACATTTACTTATTCATTTATGGGGCTCCCACTATGTGTCATATCCTGTTCCAGCCCCAGAATTCACTGGTGAGTTAGACAGTTCTCACCTACTGAAGCTTACAGGACATTGGGAGATCAGAAACTAAGAAATAAGCATTCCTGTCAACAGTGATACATGTAATAAAAGAAATACATGATAATGAAACAGTGGGTTAGGATAGAAGACTTTTTCAGTGAGGTAGTTCTAACAGGTCTCTCAGAGACCACTGAAGAGGAAGCAAACCAGAAGAACGTCTGAGGGAAGGGCATGCAGAGTGGAAAGAAGGCAAGTGCTAAGGCTTGCTGCTGGTCCCACTTGGTACCTGCAAAGCAGCAGCAATGGAGGGGGTGACTGAAGGGAAAGGACAGGCTGGGGGTGCCTAGGTCATGCAGGGTCTCTGAGCTATGGGGTTGAGGGGTCTATTTCATCCTGAATGGTGTGTGAAGCCACTGCAGAATTTGGAGCAAGGGAATATGAAATCTGATTATATATTAAAACAAGCAATAACACTGTTCTGGGCTGAGGATATTGCTCAATGGTAGAGTGCTTGCCTAGCAAGCATGAGGTCCTGGATTCAATCTTCAGCACCACAAAAACAACAAGAACAATAACAAAAATACCTCTCAAATTACATCATAAAAACACTGCTCCATATTTACATAAATGTCTCATTTAACAAATGAGGAAGAATAAATTTCCTATGTAGAAGAATTTCCAAATAATGTATGTACATATTCTACCCTCAAAGAGATAGAGCCTAACTCCCCATTTCTGCATGGTCTGTGTGAAATGGCTTCCTTCCAAAGAGTATAGTACAGAAAGGGTAACTTTATATTGGAGAAACCTGAGAAACACTACTTTACATAGGTGGTCAACATTAACAATGACAGATCATGTTGACTGTATGCGTCCTTGCTATGATGTGGTGAAATGGTATTTTACCTCTTCCTACCCATTCTCATTGAAGGAATACATCAGATCCTTTATTCCCAATTAAGGGCTGTGTCTAATATTCCTCAGAACTGTCAAGATTATCAAAAACAAGGAAAATCTGAGAAACTGTCATAGCTACAAGGAATTTAAGGGATTTGGGGATGTAATTCACAGTTACTGTATTAGTACTGTTTCAATAACTGCAGCAGATATATGATACTAAGGTAAGATGTTAATGATCAGAGAAACTAGATATGGAACATAGTGAACTCTGTACCATCTTTGGGATTTTCCTATCAAGCTAAGGCAGTTCTAAAATAAAGTTTATGCAAACAGGTAAATGTACAGTACTGCTTTAGCATCTAAGTGGATATTTACTATAGTGGGATAGGAATGGAAGCAGGCCAACTAATTAGGAATCTTAACTCTATTATTTATTGACTATTTGACTATAAGTTATTTTACTACACTTTTATTTTCTTGTCTGTTAAATGGGAATATTTACTAAAAGTGATATGGTAGGGTTTTAATGATACAATATAGGAATAGCCCAGGGAAAGACCCAAGGCTTGGAGCATCTGGAGCAGAAGAGGCCCAGAAAAAGCCAAAGCCCCCTAAGAGACCTCCACTTGATAAACACAGTAACACTGTCACAGATCCTGTCCCCACTTGCTCTGGAGAACAGTGACTGTGCTCCTAGTCTGTGGTTCACAATCTATATTCTAGTATTCTCCATACACTGCTGCTTCTATCAGCCGGGGTATGTGCTTAACAAGACTGCTTGTTCTGACCTGCACTTGTTATTTCATTCATAAGATTGTTTTATCTATGAAACCCAAGTTAAATCAGCTAGAGACACAAAAGAGATGAACTTTTAGAATAAACTGCCACTGAACTGTTGATGGTGAGACAGCTATAAAGATTTGGAAAAATTATGAAAAGGAGTCCTATATTCTTGTATCACAAGAGTTTTTAAGACTCTATTACAGTGCAAAAGCTGAAAAGGGAAGCTGGACTTGCACCGGGGGAGTGTTTTCTGCCAAAGAGATAACCTGGAGCTCCACGAGGCCTGCACTCAATGAGAGGATGTAGTCTTACACAGAAATATACACAAGTGTGTAGAAAGAAATGTTAAGAGACAGAGCTACCTTGTTTATAGTTCCCCATTCTAACTTTCTTAAAAAGTGGCATATTTCCTTTCACTCACTATTAGATTTAACATCTATTAAGATTTTGCCCCATTTGCTTTATCTATCTCATATGTTCTTTCTCTTAGCTGAAATATTTTTATGCAAATCCTAGAAAACTTCAATGTCAGTTCCCCCCAATATACTTCACAAGACACCTTCTTTTTTTTTTTTTTTTTTTGTTTTTCTCTGGTACCGGGAACCGAACTCACGACCTTGCACTTGCCAGGCAGGTGCTTTGCCGCTGAGCTAAATCCCCAGCCCCGTGAGACACCTTCTTAAATATATTAAACCAGCTTTATGGCTAAGTGTGGTGGCACATGAATGTAACCCAGTACTTAGGAGTATAGGGAGAAGAATCACCAAGAGTTTAAGGCCAGCTTGACCTACAGAGTGAGACCATGCCTCCAAAAAATAAGTTTAAACCAGATTTTGATCAGCTGAAAAACTTCTAGTCAAATTAGAGGGCTTCCAATGAGCTGCAACTCATGCAGCCATGGGCCTAGCTCTAACCTAGAGACGTTCAAAGCAAGTGACCGACTCCTGTATTCCTAGGATTCCCAATTAAAGTGGAATGAGATCTGTGAAACTTCAACTCGGTGGTTACTTCACAAAAGCTATCCTCATCCTTAAAAGAGCAGAGGTAACAGCTCTATTATTGGAACCTTTTCTCAAGATCCAGAGCCAGCCTAAACCTTCAGGAAGCATCCTGAGGCAACTTGTTGAATGAGGCTCACTGCAAAATCCCAGGTGGAACAATTTCCCATCTAGAGATGGACTCTGGGTTGCCCACAATATAGCAGTGGTAGAAAAAGTAGCATTACTTACAGGCATCATAGGAGAATTTACTTGATTCTAGATCCTTTGATTAATTTTCTCAATTTTTAAATTCAACAACATAAAAATTTGTAACTTTTGTTTTGTGTTCTTCCCCTACCCTCTCCCTCCCTCTCTTGCAATGGGGTCTTATATTGCACAGGTTGGCTCTGAAGTCTGGATTCAAGTGATCTTCAGCCTCCCAAGTAGCTGGGACTACAGGTCAGCACCACTTTGTTAGGTAACTTATTGTAATTTTCTATTGTCAAATTTCTAAATATTCTTTCATACCAGTGCTTTGTCTTTTTTTTTTTTTTTTTTTTTTTTTTTTTTTTGAGACAGGTTCTCATTTTATAGTGCAAGCTGGCCTTGAACTCACTACATAATCCAGGCTTGCCTTGAACTCAGGGGATCATTCAGCCTCGTGAGTGCTAGGATTACAGGTGTGTGCCACCATACCCAGCTTTATTATTCTTATATAACCATCTGGTAAAATTACTCTTGATAGTTTTAATAAAACAACATCACATGATAAATTATCACTGGTGACAAACATGGATGCTGGCAACTCAACATCATGTAGTTAGGGCAGAGGACAATAGAGATGTCTAATAGTAATCAATTCCTTCCTATTATTAAGTAGAATTTGTTCTTTCAAGAAGCTTCATGATTAGCTTTGAAGAAATAAACAAAAAGTTTATCAGGGTCATAACAAAACCTTTATAGAACCAGAAAGCTGCACATCTGTATCAACTCAAAGTCAGTTGTTTTCAATTAGTAAAACCTGAACCCTAATGAAGAATTGGAAATCTTTTCTACAAAGACAACTGGGCATCACAAGCATTACTTCAAAAACCACAGGCAGTGATTTCTAAACTGTGAAAACAGAAGCAAGAAATCCTAGAAAGTCAAGATAGAGGTTTTAAACCTGTAATTTGGCTAGAAAGGTAATGTGTACCTTTCCAGTATTTTCCTAACAGTTTTTTTTTTTCCCCTCAACCCTATTCCAGACCAATCAGGTATGAGAAATCAAGGAAACATCAAGGTTCAGATTCTTCTTTTTGTCTTTTTTGTCTTTTTGAGACAGGATCTCACTATATAGTTCAGGCTGGGCTTGAACTCACTTTGTAGCCCACACTGGCTTTGAACTCGCAGCGGTTTTCCTGCCTCAACCTCCTAAGTGCTGGGATCATAGCCATGCACCACCACACCCAGCCAGTAGATTTTTCAACTCTTAAATAAGCCCAGACATTTATTTGGCAAGCTGACTAAAGTCTCGACATTTAGTCTTTTCTACTCCAAGGTGAGCTAATGAGGGCTCTATTAAAGGGTAAAACATGGCCTGAAAAGACTAAAAGTTAAGTGTTTTACCAATGGGCAGATTCTGGAGAGGGACTCAAGGCACTAACAGAGAAACTGAAATTACTGCATTTTGCCTCTAAAACTGATCTCAACTGAGGGGGCACATCTAATAGGCCAAGTGATTCTGGCTTATCCCCAGTTCCAAAACATCACTTTGTCTATGGCTATCAACCCTGGCCACACTATAATCACCTGGACAGAGTTTAACAACCCTGTGTGTAGGCTCTATTATTGAAGACCAATTACAATCTCAAGAAGTGACTTCAGACATCAGCAGTTTTAAAAACTTCTCCAATGATTTCAGTGCATAGCCATGTTTTGAAACACTGCTGTAAGCAATGAGAACTCTACCTTGGAAAAGACAAAACTCAGACATTGTAGAACACAACAAACAGATTTACTTAGCACCAAACCTCCAAAACCTTGGTTATACGTAAGTCAAAAACAGTGGTTGTGTATGCCTAATTTTAAACCTGGGAAATGGTCTCCGAGAAGTAAAGGATCTCATATTTATACATGAAGTCACACAGCCTGTATTTAAATCTCAAGTCCAACAATGGGGCCTTGGGTAAGATGATTTAATTTTTTTATGCCTTAGTTTTATCATCTGTAAAATCATTTTTGAAATCATATCTGCCTTCCAGAGTTGCTCTGAGGACCAGAGCAACTTACATTTCTCAAACATCCAGCATATTACTATATATACAAAAGGCTCTCACATGGTAGCTATTATTTCTATAACTATGCCAAAGAAGTTATGCAGGGTAACACCTAGAGGAAAAGTTACAGAATGTAATATGAATGAATATAGGAGACAAAACATGAGAGACTATTTAAATAACTAAATACCTAATAATGAACGCAACTACTGGGTGAAATGGATGATACATCAAGGCCAGTGAAATAAACAGGAGCAGAGGAGTGTATTTAAGGATTAAAGTTTTAGTATTTGAGAATAAACGGTCCAAAGAGTAGGATCCATTTAGTTGCAGTCCCTTTAATCCTAGAAAGGACAAGATGCCTCTCTCTTCCTCTGATAGAGACATTAGTATTCTCTTAGGTTTAAGTAGCCTCACAGAGCTCCATCACCTTTAATGAGATGGAGAAACGAAAAATAGAGGGTAAGAAACAAGACCTCTGGTCAAATGCTAAAAACCCAAGGAAAGCTGACATAACCAGCAAACTAATTCACTGGAGTGCATTTCTGCAGCCTCCTAAAAAGAGACCTGAGGCTCTCATCTTTATGAACTTGGAAGAATGATGTGCCTGACATTTTTCTGTTTCTATTCTAGACTGTCTTTATATTCCAGGGCAGTCTGCCCACCATCCAACTCACAGAGACTGAAGGCTGTGGATTACTAACCTCTCTCAAGAATCCCGTAACACTGTTTAAGGCAGTGGTTCCCAAGCCAGGTGTAAATCAGAGACTGGGACTTAACTGTTCTTTTTTTTTTTTTTTTTTTCCTCAGTAAAGATCAATGGGCCCTAAACCCAGAGGTTCTCATTCAGTAGGTCTGAGGTGAAGCCAAGGATCTGTGTATTTTAAAATGCTTCACAAATGATCATAATATACACTCAGGTCAGACAATGACTATTTTAGGGGCTTGGAGTCTTAAATGTGTGCAAAACACTGCACGGACACTGTTAAGCTTTAACTGTAAGTAGCTGTGAGGATCGTGTTGAGGCTGGGTATGCCCAGAGAGGCTAAGGTGACGGGCTGTAAGGGCTGGATAACGGATGAAGTCTCTCCCAAGTGTTCACGTGGGAAGTGATGTGACAATGGGTGACAGTTTTCCCTTCCTTTCACTTTTCCAAAATAAGTTTTCATGAGTAATTAACCCAACCAACCCACCGAACTAGGTGTAGTGGCATACACCTGTAAGCCCAGCTTCTCAGGTGGCAGAGACAGGACTGCAAACTTGAGGCTAACATGGGAATTTAGCAAGACCTTGTTTCAAAATTTTTTTAATAAGAGGGGTTAGGACCGTTGTTTTCTCCGTTGGCCAGAAAGGACGTTGGTGTTGAGGACAGTAACTACCATTAGTTCCAGTGTGCTGGCGAAGCCTCAGATGCGTGGTCTTCTGGCCAGCCGTCTGTGGTTTCATATTGTTGGAGCACTCCTTGTCTGCACAGGGGTTGCAGCTCTAAGTTTGGTGTGGCTGAAGCAAGAAAGAAGGCATATGCAGATTTCTACAAAAACTATGATTCCATGAAAGGTTTTGAAGAGATGAGGAATGAGGAAGGCTGGTATCTTTCAGAGTGCAAAGTGATTTAGGAATAAAAAGGATTCTTTGGGTTGACTTCCATAGACATTTGTCACTGATAGTGTTCCTGAACTGTGAAACATCAATAATATGCGGGCTAAGGAATACTTAGTTCCTTATGACAAATAAACACTTGTGTGAACAGTAAAAAAAATAAAAAATAATAAAGAGGGGTTGGGGTGCAGCTCAGTGCTCCTTGGAGTCAATCCCCAGTACTGCCAAAAACCTTAAAGGTAAACAAAACATCTTTGTTACATCCAATGCTGGTGACATTTTTGGTGAAACTTTAAGAATTTGCTTTTACTACTGTGATTTACCACACATTACAGTTTTTTTGTTTTGTCTTAAAAAAAAAAGAAGAACCTAAGCACTTCAGGAAAACAAATGAGCTCTTCTGGCTCATCTAAGGAACTGAAAGTGTCTTTCTTCAAGGAGCAGTCTGAAGAAGCATCAGGGGACGTGTGCTACAGGCTACATTGCAGGTTGCCCAGATGATTTAATAGTCTGTCTTTGTGGGAAAAGGTCTTTGAAAAAATCAATACCAAGCGTATCTGGAAGGCTATAAATAAATTCTTTCGAGCACTACACCCACTTTATGCAAAGCACTTGTATTGGTGTGCGATTAGAAGATTAGGAGATTTTCTGTTTAACAGAAATCTAGGCAAGAAGAATCCTTCCTAAAAGGCCCAGTATTTATAAGATAACTACCCTCTATAAAATAAACTGAAGATGAAAGGGCCCATATCAGTATTCAGTCTCAAGATCATCTTAACAATCATCATTTTCCCCAAGAATTAGAGACGGGCATCAGAAACTATCAAGTGTAAACAGTCTTATCTTCATTTGCAGTAAGGGAAGACCAGTACCTCAGGATCAAACGGCCTTGCAGCTTCTATTTACAGTATTTAAAAAACACTATGTAAGGACAACAAGCCATTAAGCACAGTTATCAAAATTCAATGCCTGTGCAGTCCATGGCAACAAATCTATGCATTTTAATATCTAAAATAATGAGCAGTTGTGACTGAGGGCACATGTCAGGTTTAAATGATTCTACAGTAACCACACCCCATACACACTTGTTTCTATTCTGTTCCATTTCACTAATCTTTAGAGTTGTAATGTTGGAGCCAGATATGCAACCTGATGTTAAGAGTCTCAAGAAGAGATTTTACAATTTAAACAAATCCAAAAGGATAAATTACTTTTGGGAGGAGAAATAAATCAAGTCTCCATTTGCAGCTTTTATAACTATTTCCCTAAGAAGTAAACACAACCGGTACCTACTGGTAAGGCTGATGTACTTACTTGTCTTACATACACTGGCCTGCCTGACTGACTGCAGTATTGCTCTGTGGGCTCTTGTCTTGCAACCTCCAATCCCAGGGCCTTTTCTTATGCTGAACATGCCTGGGCACATGCTCCATTCTCCTCACGGTTAATGTTTAGCCATTCTCTAGTTTTGGCTTCAGATCTTCCCTCTTTTCATCTCATTCTTAGCTTCCAAGGTTTAATTCCCTTTCTCTAGATGTACAACCTTCAGCAGTAAACCTCGGGAGTTGAGAGAAGAGCATCCCTAACCCAGCTTCATCCAGTTTGTACCTAGAATAATGGCTGGCACACAGTAAGCATTTAATAAATATTAGCTATTTCTTATTCTTTAGCAAGAATCTCACTGACTTTTTTCAGTCCTTGT